AATACTGGTAGACAACTTAAAATAATGGTAGACAACTGAATTATCCTTTTTTTTCTCTTTGCTTAATCATTTTTATCACAAAATAGTCTACAGTTTGTTTCATACTTAAAAATAATTCACAAATTCATGCCAAGAGAAAAATGATAGATCATGATTTCTCAAAAGCCTTCGTAGACAGAAATAAAATAAACAAATTACATCAGAATCATTGGAAAATTACCATTTGTTTAGTAGCAGATGTCTATATAGGTAACTACTTGCCAGAAGAATCTAGCTCAGACTGGCTCCCCATGCTCACTCCTAGCCATTCTTTTAATGCAGTAATGAACTGTTTGGTGTTTGTTTTTTTTTTTTTGTTGCTGTTTTGTTTTGCTTTGTCTTTAAGTTCAGTCACTTCACCTTCTTCTTTCTTATCTCCTATTATATATTTATTTTCCTCGCCATTTTCCCATGTAATGAAACATACTGCACATACAGTAATTCAATTTGTGAACTGAACTTTGTCTTATCTTCCAGACTGTTTGCTCCTCTCCATCTCAGTCGTGACAATCTCCTTTTCCACTTTCTCCTCATTAATGAGTCTTTCTCCTACTGATACTATGACTACAGTTCCTCTTTACTCTTTATGCCAAACAGCAACATCAGAACTTTTGTTTCTATATATGAAATAACAGTGAAAGAATGAAAAGAAAGTAAATTATTTCAATTTGGGGGGAGAGGAATATTCACAGAACTGCCACTGCTAGAAGTCTCTAAATTAATCCAGTTTTTTCGTTTCTTTGGGTTGTTTTTTTTTTGAGGCGGTTGGTTGTACATTTTTAATGTAGTATTGATACACAATAAAACGCAGTCATCAATCAATCAGAATAATGGCTGATTAATCAGATACAGTGGAAAATTCAGAATTCAGCTCAGACTTCTTTTCATCCCAAGAAATTTCTGTTATTCTTATTTAGACAGTCTCTTGCTTGTAATTTTAATCTGATCTACACAGCTTATAAAGGGGAAGGACATTTAAAATACAGATGAAAAAGAAATGCTTCAAGTTACTGAGTAGCATTTAACTTCATTTAATGAATTATATCCTTGACAGAATTGCAAAATGACTGGCCAAATGTTGATGGCTGCTTTACAGCCGTTACATGGACAAGACTTGCATTAACATATTCTGTCATTCAAATTATTTACAATCCTTTCAGGATCTCTGAAAACAAAAAAAAAATAATCCCATTAACTTCTGCTAAATTTATTAGAATGAGGAAAATTACAAAACCAGCTTTCTAATCCTGCAAATAGCAACTTCATCCAAGATCTGATTTGAATGCTATATAAGAAAGTTTTTAGTGGAGAGATCCACTCTTAAGTGTAATCTATATTCAAGATACTGTACTTCATTGTGCAAATCACCTGTGGATTCTGTTTTAATATCACAGAGATCAAAATACTTTACAAGATTTCAGCTGAACAAAGACATTTAATTTCAAGAGTAGTGTCATGTGACATGTTATGTATCACATAAACAGTTCACATTTGATAAAGAAGAAATGTGACCAGTACAATCATTCTAGGAACTTTCATAAGATAGCTAAAACAAAGAATAAAGAATCTGGAATTAAACTAAATTTGCCATTTTTATTAAATTAGCTTAACTTTCTTCACCAAAAACATTCACCCTAAAGAAGGACACCAGCAGTCTTTCAAGGCGGTAAGGGGTTTGATTCTATTATTTCTTTCCTCGAAGTGTTAGTTAAGCCTCCAGAATGAAGTCATCAGAAGCTGGGAAGCTCAGCTGAAGATAGCCAATTTCTCAGACAGACTATTGCCAGATAACTGGGCTGCTGCCTCTGTGAAGGGAAGAGGCTTAATTACCCTGCTAAGAGGCTGCGGCTTGCAGTTTGCAACTCTGCATCATGGAAACCATTCTAAGAAAAAACAACCTATATAGGCTTACGTTCCTTCATATTGAACCGTAGTGGTTTTGAGTTAATGAGTGCACCCTGGAACACCTCTGTTGTAATTTTTTCTTCATAAGATCATAGGATTTCAACAGTGACTTCCATGATAATAATGAAGGTATAAATTATATTTGTTTAGATGCTTTAACCCAAAGCCCTTATAGGAAAGGGAGACTCTAATTCCCAAAGTGTTGGCTTGCAAATAAAAAAGCTGTATATCAAATTTCTAAACTGTGGCTTCTATTTTTCAGCAACAATATCATCTGATTTTTCTTTCTTTCCTTTAAGAAATAACTCACTCTTTTTCCACATCTGATTTACTGGATGTATGACATACAAGTGATTAATGGTAAATTTTTTATGAACAACCCTGCACAAGCTTTATATTGAACAGTTAAAAAAAAAAGTTGAAAGATGGAGAAGTCAGTAATAAATACTCTTCTGAGCATTTTTGTTGGTCTGTATTAGATGGAATGCTTATATAAAAAACTGAATGACAGTATGAGACAGGAAAAATAGAAAGATACTATACTCCTGCTTCTGAAAGAATTTTGAGGTTATTAAAAATATCTGCTGCATTGAGGAGCGTGTAAAAAGGAAAATAAGAAAGACATATCTTTAACAGATCTGGTAACTTAAGAGATAACCCTGTTGCTAATAACAGGCTTTGATTCTATTTTTCTGTTGTCTGCAACAGCAATTTCACAAATCAAACTGCAGACACTCGAATAGAGACAATTTTATAATACCTATTCTGCAATTTCAAGAGTGGTTTAAGTACTAAAAGCCTTCTGTGTTCAATTTAATTCTCTCTTAAACCTTAAAATGCTGCCTCTGCTTCTAAAGCTGTCACAAAAGGGATCTATCCCCACTGCAGTGTAACATAGACAGCATCCTACACCTCCAGACCAAGGACTCCTTGAGCAATTTGCATTGTTTCATGTGTAGCCATAGTAAAAACAAATGTTGTTAAAGGAATGATATTGTTCCTAAAAAGACTAAAGAGGTTGTAAATAATTTGAAACAACTTTTCTTTTAAACTGGTCAGATTTTTTTTATTTTTATTTTTTTTATCAAAATTTGTACACTCTTAGACAATTCCTCCAAATTAACACATCCCGCTCATCAAGCACTGTCCAGCAAAGTTCATCAATAAAGAATAAATTAATAATTTAAACTGATGTTCTTTCAAATATAAGCACCTCTCAGACTGAACTGTTTGTAAAGCGAAAGTATGATTAGCTGATCTTATACCATGCTTTGCTAAATATGTAAAATTAATGTCTTTTTTCACCCAATTTTTACTGTTTGTGGATGTTTATAAAGCAATCTCCAGCAACCACTAAGTACTAATTTTGACTGTCCTTATGTTTACAACTCATCAAGAAAAAACAAGACACTAGACTACAGCAATCAGCAGCTTGATACAAATTTCAAATCTAATCCTTGAAGGATGGCAGGAAACCTGCAGTTCTGAGAATTATTCCATTCTGAACATAAAACCTTGCTAGAAAATCAACTATAGAAACTTTCAAAGAGTGCATTTTGCATTACTGAAAGATTTTCATCTCCACTGCACTGTTGTGGGTTTCTTTTGTTTAACAGCTCAAAACTTGAGGAAATACTTTATATATTGTAATACTTATTAATATAACAAGTTAATTAAAGTAAATTTAGTTTAACGTGATAATATTCAGGGAATATATTGGATTATTGCAGTTGTCTTTTAAGTAGTTTGTCTTTCTGCTATCTTCATAAAATAATTATTACATTATTGTTACAGCACTATTATATTCTTATTAAGAACTTCAGGTCACCTATCGCATTTATAAAAAATACTACAGATCCAGGCAAAGTACATCAAGCTAAGCAGCAAGAAAGTAATTCCCTAAAGCACTGCATGCATTTCTAAGATCTTTACAATTTAGATGATTACATTATCTCAGTTTTTTATTCACTAGTCAGGAGATAAATGACAGCTAGAATGACTGAATATTATTTTTTTTTTTAAACACCTTTCATTTTATTTGATAGACTTTTTACCCATAGTAATTTATTCCTATCACTGATGAAAATATAAAGCAAAAGCCTGAAAGTACAATCATGGCTAATGTTAAGCCCAAGAAAGAAAAAAACACTGTAGAGATAAATGGAGATGTCTACCATTTCAGTTTGAATGCCATTACAACAAGTGATTAGGTAAAATAAAAAGCTGTATTAATAAAACTATGTTTTCTTCATGCACACATATTTTCTTGTAAAGATATGAAATGATTTACATTTCACGTAAAAGGATAAGAAAAAAAACTTCAGACAGTTTAATTTGAGGTTCTTTTGCAAAGAAAACTTTTTTTTTTTGTATCAATCGTAACAGTGAGAACAAAGCAACATATGAGCAAATGATATGAATACATTTATATATTCATATAAGTTATATGAATATAAATCATATGAGCATATGAGCAAAGTATTTTTTATAAAAGGCACAGACATTCTCAAATTCATAGCTTGCAGAAGTCTTGCTATTTTCTTTTAGAGAAGTCTTGCTATTTTCTTTTACAACTTCACACTGCACAGAAAATCCCCTAATTCATATAAAAAGATGCAGCACACATAAATTAACATTTTAGATTTACTGAACGCTGTTTTTTTATTATTATTAGAATATTTATTATTAGAATATTTTTTCCTGAACTGGTTCTATCTTTTCTAAAACTACAGTATCTTGTCATTATCAAAAAAAGGATTCCATGAGAAAACAATTCAGTGTTTTTCCTTAGGACCACCTCCAAAACCCAAACTAATGTAAAAATAAAAAAATAAATAAATAAATTCAAATTTTGTAGCTTTTCTGAGAAATCCTCAGACAGAACTTAGATCATTCAGTATCTTATAGCAGATACATTCAGACAGAAGCATTATTTCTAATTATTCAAATATTTTGAAGCCTGCACAATCAGAGACAATAAAAAATTATCAAATGCATGGCTTTTTCACTAATCTATTGAGAAAGATTTTATAAGTGTTAGACTATATTTACAGTACCTTTGGGTATTGTTTGACAGGGATCAGAACTCTCTCTGACAACTTTATGTTCTTGTTGCTGATAACATCAAGGTATTTCTTTTCCTCATCTTCCTTCTTTCCTTCAGAACCCTGAAATTTTTCAATTTCTGAAAACAATAGAAAAAGAAAGCAATCAGTGACATTTGTCATTCTCAGAAACTTTAAACTTCTACATCATAGTATAGATTTTGCACTCACATGACATGCACTATTAATTTTGAAAAAACTGGACTATCACCAGTGTTAAGAGGCATAGGTGGTAGCTCACAGTTTGTACTATGATTCATTCTTTTCCAGCTGAAATTGACTCCAAATGATCACAGTAGGAACAGGAAAAGATGAAGCTTGTGATTCAAGCAATCAGTGTTTTAAAGAGGATCACATCATCACAGCTTGATGATATTTTATAAATGTAACGTGCCAGAATTAGTCAAAGATTTAAAGGCTAAACTTAAGGGTTGAACAACTAAGTTGTTCAAAGTAAATTAAGAAATAACTCCTGTACAAAACAATTTTTCACTGAAGGACTGCAAAAGTAATAATTATACATGATAATAACGATAATGTGTAGAACATTTGATAGGATTTACAAAAGCAGCTCCAAAATATACTCAGATTAGATAGTTGAGTGCTTTCACACAAACTTTTTAATTTTTGAAGTCCTTTAAGCTTCAAAAAGGAGAAGAACATCAATCAAATTTACTACCCTGCAAAGAATATTGAATGTGGTATTGTAGTTCTCTATAGTATGGGTGTTATATAAAAAACTGCATTTGCAGCAGCATCATTATTGACAAGAAGGAAATGGCAATGCTTACAATGAGTTAATTAAATGACTTAAAGGGACAGCTGTGAGTCTGAGAAACATGCATTTTCATGGCCAACAGAGCAGGCACAGGAATTAGAAACACTCTGACAGCAGTGTGTAACACACGTAAAAGCTTATTTTATTTAACATCATAAGTAGTAGTTAAAACAACGTAAATTCCAATGATTCACAAAGATTGTTATTCCTTTAAAGAAAGACTGGTGGGAAAAGGAGCTTTCGCAGAAGACAGTGTGATAAAATAATTACTGGACCAAGAAAAAACATATTAATTTTCTCTATTAAACTAAAGTTGTTCTCTATTCTGTATACTCCTTGTCATTCCATGACTACGACCATGATAGACGGTATAGGACTCTATCATGAAAAAATGAGGACGAGGATCATGTGCTCACTCCAAGTGGAGGTTTCATCACTTATACATTGTGATTTGCCATCCAGCTGTGAAACTTCTGGTCACATATAACACACATTGGAAAAAGATAACACATCTTTACACTTCAGAACTTCAAGTTTATTTTCATGAATTCAACCAATTTCTGTTTACCAAAATACATGGTTAGTATAGGATTTTGAGAGCAATAACAAATGAAGATCCAGAAGCATCAGCAAGAATAAAAACAAGGAACCCAACAGAACGTTTTCAAGAACACTCATCCTAGGCAGAAATAGAAAAAGCAGCATTCTTTGAAAAGAATGTTGACGTATTTTCCACCCACTTTTGCTCTGAGCTAACTGAATTAAGCAGGGTGACAGATAACTATTCAATTACCTCCTACAGTATCTGTCAATCCCCCAGCACACTTCATTCTTCTCTTTCATCTCTAACAGTTCTGTCGCACTTTCTTCTGTATAATACACATGTATCTTATCTCTCTTAATTGAAAGAGAACGTGAATATCACAGCTATGCAAAACAGCTCACAACTAGGAAAGTGTCAGAGACTAAAGGCATTTCTAACAGCTTTTAGAGATTTTTTTTTTTATTCCCATGAAAATTGATCTTCCGCTCTCCATATCTTGAGCTGCAAAATTCTGGAAGAGGTGTCACCCTGTTCTGTTTTTGAAGGAAATAACTTTTTTTTTTTTTCTCCTTTTTCTCACTGATTTGGCATAAACTAGAATAGCTGACTGAGTCGTTCTTACTTTTTCAAAACTACTTGCTTTAATCTTCAGAGCGCCAATAAAAAATGTTGATTATAGTTCACTCCAACATGCTTGACACCTATTGCAAAACTTTCATGATGAATATAGTTTTTCCATTAAAATTAGGCTGCTCACAGTAAAAACATTCTTTTGCTACACTTAGAGTCATGTCAAAACTCATCAAAAAATAATGTGCTTCTTGTCAGCCTGTCCAACCTACCAAAAAATGAAATCTACACATCCCTTTCTCTGCTGTCAACATTTGCCACCCACTGAAAGGATTTCTGAAAGCCTACCTTGCATCTTACCTATGGGGATTCCTCTATTTGCAGCAGAGGCATTATTTCAGTAAAGAAGCATGACCTGTTGTTACAAGGTCTTGCTTTTAAAAAATGATCTGTCTCCATTAATGGGAGTGATTCCATAACGAGAATTTCACCAGCCTCTTGTCTGCATACAGTAATACATAGAGCAGCATTACATAACACTCTGAGAAGTACACATTTTCATCATCATTTTCATCACATTTACATTTGCTTCTAGTTTGGTGAATGGAACAACGTTTGTACTGAAAGAGAAAGAATATGCCAGTAAAAAACAGCAAGTCCAAAATCTCTGACATCTTCATCTTTAAAAGAGTTTGTGTTAATAAAAATCACACACTTGGAACCTCTAATGCCTACAATACTGTTAAAATTGCACAACATCCCAAAGTATTTTTAAAATAGTAAATACTGAAAATACACATGAAGGCTATCTAAGCTGTTTCAGTTGTAATTGAAAGCAGAGCTACTGGGTTTTTGGGGAGAAAAAAAAAACAAAAAAACAGATGATTTAACAATACAATTGAACAAATTACAGTGAAGTTAATCTGTAAGAATAGAAAATCCTAAGAGATTTCCTGTTGCTAAAAGGAAATCTAAATTCCCAAAAGACTGGCTAATTAAAAGTAAATAGTTTTGTGGCTAGCAAAAAAGGGGAAGGGTTATCAAGACAGCACAACCAGCCACAGCCTCTGACAATTACCCATTGGCACACTCCATTCACCCAGCACTACATGCACCTGCTGGCAACATTCCTGCACTGTAGTTACACATATTCACTCACTGACACAGCTTGTAGGAATGACTCAGCAAGATCCTACAAGTGTAATAGCGTTTACATATCTGCCAAATTTGCTTGAACTTGCCCAAAATATTTAAATGTTATTGCAGTCAAAGACAGAATGGACAAGATAGCATAAATCCTATATCCTTAAGAAGTTTCTTAATAAAAGGTAGTGATATAGAGAAGTTAAGCATCTATAGACAATCCAAACTGATTAAATCCAAAGATAATTATCATGAAACCAAAGGAGGAGAAAGTAAAACTGTGCAGAGACTGAGTAGAATTGAACTTAAGATTTCCTACCCATCTCTTTCTATAGACAATTGATTTTTACTGCCTGGTTAACAGTTTGAGAGCGCTCAGCAACTTGCAGAGATATGCAAAGATATCTCTAGATTATTGTATCAGTAGAAATACAAATATTTACTCTATCTACCCATTGATCTATAGCTAGATCAGGATAAATTAGAAAAGCTGTAAGGAGAATATTAATAGCGTTAAATAACTAGAAAATTTTACAGGTAGAAATATCAGATACTGCTAACTATCTGAACACTTTCTGCTCAGGCACACATTTCTAGGGAGAAAATTAATTCTGACTGCCAAATAGTTCTAGCTTGATTGCCAACTAATTCCTCATTACACTATTCCATGTAATTCTAGATACAGATCAACTGTAATCACTAAAAAAAAAAAATAGTATTTACGATGAAATTTACCACTATATACAAAGTTAAACTGATGGAGTCTTTGTCTCACCAGTACAAACAGTAACAAACAACAATCACTCAAGATCAGCAGCAGTGTATGCAGCATAAACAAATGATCAAGGATGCATGTTCAGCGTAGTGACCTACTGAAATATAGTATCTCATGAAATTAGTCACAGCAATGCCCGTTAAAAGACAGTAATTTCTTCATTGCTTTTTAGAGAATATTCTTAGTACAAGGACTACACTGACAAAAAAAAAAGGAAGACACTATTTTTGAAACAGTGAAATTTTGAAGACCATTCAATGTGTGTATTAAGTATATTTGATATCAAATATATCTTTCTTCATAGAGTTAGCTTGCATAGGCTAGGATGAAGGTTTGGCTGTTCACTCTCGTATTGCTAGAACGACTGAACTCAGTATAGTTCTCCTTACCTCTTACCTTCAGAGCAGCTAAGGTAGTATAACGAATGTGCTATCAGGTAGATGAAAGACCAACCTGAAAGTTGTAGAGGTATTTTTTCTTGAATTGCAATTTTCTTCAATCTGAAACTACTCACAGAAATGGGAAATACAGAGAAGGAAGATTTACTCAGACCAGAGCACAAAAGAAAGCAAAAACCACCAAAAAATATCAAGAGCATGTTATTTCTGAACACATCCTTAGGTGTCCTTGAATTTAACATTTTAGAAAACTCCATTTCTGTGGTGTTTCAGAACCAGAAAGAAGTTATTTGTCAACAAAGACTTTTGTAGCTTCTACTGTGTTAAAGCCCATTCAACAATGCACTTGCACATGCTCAAGTGCTCTCCTGGATTAATCTAAAGAGAAAACATCAATGCTGTGTTACATACTGTACGGTGCAGAGCAGATAAGCATAGGGTGAAAGATGAATTGATTGGCAAAGTCACCAGCAAGTCCCTCAGTGAGATATTTATTACTTATATCTTCCTATCTGAAAGCCGATGTTATTCTGGAGGTACTCTGTAGCTGGAAGTATTCTGTCTCTTCACAGTTGCCACAAAGGAGGAAAGCCTTTCTTTTTCTTCCTCAGTCCTAGAACTTACTAGCGATAAAACATGTCCTAATCTGTTTTCAGAGCAAGATAGAGAATTGAACAGCAGGCTTTTTTTTTTTTTTTTTTTCCTGGTCTTATTTAGCCATTTCAGGGTTTTTCTGTACTGTGAGACAGAAAAGCTATACAGTATATAGAGTAAGAATGACATCTGAAAGTACACTGTATTGAAAATTATGAATAAATGCAACTTACTGAAGTAAAGAACTGGTAAAAAATCTCATTGTGGCTCAGACTTCT